GTTTATTGCGTGTTGTGGGGCGTACTTCTTTGGCATCAGTGGCGTGCGTCCCACAATAAGACGACCCCAACTATTTCGCTTCTGTATTTGTGACAAACTAAGCAAATATTTTTTATTAATTATTATTTTTTTTTTATTACTGTTTGGGTATCTATACGTAGAAATAATTCCTAAAGCTAAATAATTTTAATGAAAGAATCATTTATTCGATTATTGGATCGTGGATTTACCTGATAGGTTTCATTTTATTATAAATTTATTTAAGGTACTTGGATCGATGATGTCCAGTTATTGGAGCGACCGAAAACCTCCAACGATGATACCGGAATCATTTTATCTAGGCGAAATTCCTCCAACGACATTAGGGAAGGACGGCTCCAAAGAGGTACCCTAAACGTTATCCACTTGGAGCAGATGTCCGGTCTGTCCCCGGGGCTAGGAATCCCGGATGTAAATTGATCGTGAACGAGTTTCCGGTCCGGTAGGCCAAACCCCAGCCGGTCAGCGGGGTGCTCCCCCCCCCCCCCCATCAGGAAATATCAATCCGAAAAGTATTACTGTTTCCAATCTCACCCGCCCGATTGACCATCGATGCACCTACAAGATTTCCCGTTTAATTTTCCGCTCACGCATCTTGTCCGTTTTCCGATGACATCAGTTACGGATGACCGGCGACAGGATTTTCATTGTCAAAGAAAATATTTCTGTTGCTGATAAAGAAGGGTATATTTGCCGATTTAGATTAGATAACATACGTATATGTTTAATTAGAAAAAAAAATAGGTCTTTCAGGGCTGTAGTAGATACTTATAAAAATTTAATAATTTAAAAAAAATTATATTATTTTTTCGATTTACTAAAGAAATTATTTACCTAACATGGAATCACAGTTTAAAAAAAATTCTAATGGTTTTGTAATGTCATCTTTAATATATTTTCAAGTTTGAATGAAGAGCTGTTATAAAATTATATAAAATAGTAATTCCTAGAAAAATAATTTGAAAGCAGTTGAAGTTCTCAACTATTTCAATAATTGTAGAGTCATAAGAATCCACCAATATTTCATCTATAATACACACACACATATATATATATATATATATATATATATATATATATATATATATATATATATATATATATATATGTATGTATATATATGATATTATAATCCAGCGCCCCACTCGTGTTCTTTTCGGAAAAGATTCAATAAAGCCGTATCGCTTCTCATTGATGAAATTTATTAACCAAAGGTTGGGATTTCGAAGGAGGATAAAATTGTATTACAAGCCTTCATTCGTTTTTTTTTTCATTTATTTTTTTTTTTACTTTAAAGGATTAATTCTACATCGGACGAAACTCCCCCTACCCCCTACAAACTTTATGAAGATATTGAATCAGTATGAGAGCACACATAATCTTCAATTTTCATTAAGCTCTCCCTCTTTTTTTTTTTTTTATTATTCCGAATCGAAAAAAATAAAATAAATAATAACAATAATATTTGAAAGAATTTTAAAACAATATTTGTTATTATCGTTAATTTTTATAGCTAATAAATTAATAATCCTACCAGCAGAAAAACGTGACTATGAAAACAAACAGATTTTTTTAATATAATCTTTTTTATTGCAGTTTCTACCTTCGTTATATATACATTATAAATATATATATATATTTTTTATTGCATTGTAAACATAGTATGAATGTGCCTTACGGCTCTAATACTCAGTGCCCTTAAGTGTGGGGAACTGTGTTAAAGCTCAATATAAAGATTTTTTTTTTTTTTAAGTATGTCAATAACTAGAGCGAATGACGAAAAATATTGTAAATATGAGCGATGGAATGCGAAACCCGCTGGAGCAATGAGAACGTTCTAGAAGGCCCGTTAGCGGGCGCTCACACGAATCCCATTAAAATAGTTATATTTTGCCGAGTTATGAGGTTGGTAATAGGTTCTGTGGCGTACCCTCTTCCACGGCACATGTGGTCCAGGTCTCCTTCTGCCAGAAAATGGCTGTAATTTCCTGGAAACGGAGGCGTGGCTCACGAACTCACGACTGGAAGAGAGGAGCAAATAAGTCGGATTTCATAAAATAAGATTGGTTTTATTAAACGCCTGGCACAATATCGGCCCTCGACTAATGTATATAATGGAGGCACTGGGGCTGGGAGATTAGGGAGGCACTGATGATATCGTCCGGCCAAACGGCACGATTTTTAATGCTTCGTCTTCAAGACGAACAAGAAGAGTGGACCTTTGTAGATACTGATGCGGAGTGCTCAATAAAAATAGTATTTTTACAATATAATATTAAAGAGTAAAATTGGTAAAGAAGCCTCGGAGAGAAACCGGAAATCTGCACCAAGTCACCTAAGGGTCATTGAAGGAATTTCGACTAGATAAAATGATTCAGGTGGCATCGTTGGTGGGCGTAAATCGAACCATAAACCGATGAGTTATCAATTTGTATATATATTTTTCTAAAATACCTCACTTGCATGACACAGAAATTAATTAGAAACTAAAAATATTTGCGTTTGTAAAGCGTTCCTAACAAGAAATATTCTACAAGGAGATAACTGGCCCCTCGACAAGAAACAACATTCAATGTATGCACAAAAAAAGTAGTTGCAGAAATTCATCCTAGAAATTTACCCTTTTTACGAAGCTCAAAGGGATAAGGGGGATTCATCCAACAAATCCTGAATATTGTAAACCTCTTACGGAATGTTATTTACGAAATGTTAAATATGTCCGCTACCACTCATAGATTACCACTACATATATCATAGACATTCTATAAATTTAATAATTTGTAATTTACTTAAATATATTTCGATGCATTTGTTTATACTTTAGGGAAACAATAAAAACTTACAAATTTGATTAATCGAATTCATAGAGTTTATTTAAAATAATAACCAGTAGTAAGACCAGATGATAAAATCTATCGGTCGGTTCCATTAACAATATATGAGATATACAAAAAACTTAATATGGATTTTTTTCTAACAATTTAAAATTCTTAAAATATATTCTTAAAATAATAATAATTTACTAGTAGTAAAACTATTGTGTTTTTACAAATTTTAATCACACCATCTAAGTGTTTATTATATACCTACGATATATGTATCTTAAGCAAAAAAAAAAACAAAAAAAAAAAAACATAAATGATTTGAATAAAACATACTGGCGAATACAATTATCCAATAAATTTAAATTTAAAAAATGATAATTGGTTTTAATTTTTAGAAACCTAAATGTTAATATTTATTTTCAAAGTATAATATATATAATATATGATATAACACGACATTAAATAATACAGTAAAGCACTGAGGTATATGGAGTTGGCGAAGCACTTGCTGATATAGGTACACACCAGACGAAGCATCCCCCATTACTTCGTCCGGGAGTAACACGAACTCATGCGCCGAGTGTAATAGTATCAAATTGAGAGAGCAATCCCCTCTCAATTATAAAACGAATCTTGTAATTAAAGTTGTTAAACTCTAAATACGAGTTATACAACGAACCTATCATTAGTTTAAACATTTCTTCGTGTCGTGTATATTTTACTTACGGTTCTTTTTTTTCTTTTTCTTTTCAATTTGTTTTTTTTCCCAACTCCTCAGACGAGGTGACTTATTATATCCGACGATTTTCTATAACTAGTCTACAATTTAAAAAAAAAAAAAAAACCGTCACGAGTGAGAAAACAAAATTAATCCCGATATGATTCATGGTTCATGACCGAGAGATAACCCAAGAACATAAGAGTATGTGCATTCCAGGAATTATGAAACTTCATTCTGCATTGAAAAATTACAAAATATAATTTGAATTCGAGTCAAATTTTTTTCTTTTTAAGTCCTAAATTTCTCACACTTTAAGAAAGAGAGAGACAGAAAAAAAGAGACATTCAAAATTATGGATTGTGTTTATATTTCCAAAATGTTTGTAATTTTTTAAATATTTCTTTTTATTCGTAGTTTCAAGTTTATAAAGGTAAACTGACCCATATTCATTCCACAGTTTCTGTATCTCATAATTTTTCAAAGTCGTTATCAGGATTACTTTTAATATTATTATTTTGCTTAATATTGTTATTTCATTTAGTTTAGTTTCTTTATAATAAATATGGTGTGAATGAATGTTACTGTTTCTAATCGGCTTATTTGTGACTTAATGTAAAATAACTGAATAATGAAAAAAACAATTGTTTCTAACCATATTTAACCAACATTACATACTTGTTCTAATTAATCGTGTTCCAGGTGTGCATAACGTTTCAGTATCAAACGATTTCAGTAAAATATTTTATTTATTTCAGATTATTATGTAACTATGCTAGCACAGTTTTCCGTTAAAGTATCGCTTGCAGTCACCGAGCGCGGGTACAAAGTTTCAAACATATTAGAGTAGACTTAAGAGAAGATTGTTTTTTTTCGAGAGCAATAATATGTTGAGTTATCTTGATCAGTTCATGTATGAAGGAGGAGAAGAGAATGTAGTAAAATTATTTTGTAAAAATAGTTGACATTGAGAACAGGATCCTTTTAAATATTATGTTTGAAATTATTCACGTATCACGTTTGAATATGTAGCTAAGTATATTTATTTTATTAGAAGTAATTATATGGTGTCGAAAAATTATGTGATGGTGATTGTTTAGAGAGTTGACTGGACTAAAAAACAAGTAAGCTACTGAATACATGAAATAAAAGAATTCAGATGACAGATTGAATCAAACACTTTAGCTACGTCTAAAGTCGAACTTCACCGATATTTTAGTGGATGTTATGAGGAGAAATCTTAAAACGCAGTTCAATATCGGTTTTCTATTCTACTTTTACAAATACATCCTTGCGGAACTATGTTCCACCGTAACGTGATAACTCTATGAGATAATTCTGGAAGAGCCCTAAGGTGCTTAAAGATAGCTGACTACTAGAGGAAGGAAAGATAGGGAACTAACTACAGTGAGGTGCTGCTACCGGTGCCAGGCGATGAGGGACTGGAAGGAACGGGTACCTGAGTAGTTCTGCCAGAAGGCCTGGGCCCCGGAGTTGATGAGGTCGATGCTGGAGTAGTTCCAGGGCTTGTCCTGGGGCGGAGGGGGCGGCGGGTCCCGGGGCTGGCCCCCCTGGTAGCCCCCGCCCCCGGAGGACGGCTGCTCGCCCGCCTCCCGCTCGGCCGACCGCCGCTCTGTGCTGCCGCCGCTGCCGGCCGCTCCTCTGTCCCCGCTGCTGTTGCCGTTGCCTGCGCCTCCGCTACTGCAGCTCTCTGCAACATCATACATTCATGTATTTTAGTTAAAATAAATTTATTACTTTTACATAAATAAGTACAATTAAAAAATAATCTTACATAAAAAAAAAAATGTATACATATACAAAAACAACCCACTACATTTTATCCAAACTATACAATCGACTTGAATATTTAATAGTTTACCGTTGCATTATAAAGGAAGGAGATGGTCCGTGGTGGCGGTCATAAATAGGCTAAATAATGGCAAAACTGTTTTATTAAAAGTATCGGATACTGTAATTTTCTATGTTTTTCCCCATTACCCAAACAAGTCAGCAAATTCCCCAATACCTGCCCTTACCCTGGTATTGCAGTTCTAAATGAAACTCCTAGCTGAACACACCTGTAAGTTTTATTTACTTATTTATTTAATTTTTTTTGTTTTCTTTTCTTTCTCCACATTCTATTATTATGTCTATTATTTCATATTATATCCTTTTTCCTTTTCTTTCAATCTCTCCTGTAGATCTGTAGAAGTATAGTCACATTTGCATTTATTATATATTACACTACAACAATTGTTAGCTTACTCTGTTTATATTTTAATGTATTCACTATTTATAATTTTAATAAGCTTATTCACATTGTTTATAATTTTTTGTCTAAACATTATGTAACTTCCACAATCTTTTTGTATCTTCTCCGTTCTAGCCCTGAAGAAGACCTTTAAAGCCGGGTCGAAACGTTGGCTTTTAATAAAATAGTTTTAGCACTATTTAGCCTATTCATGACCACCACCCCGGAACATCTCCTACCTTTGTACAATCGGCATATACAAATCTAAGAGTATATTAAGGATCAACGGGAAAGAATCAAAGAGCTTTAATGTGGATAGAGGAGTCAAGCAAGGTGACAGTCTCAGCTCTTTTCTGTATATCGTATTTATGTACAAGATCTTAAAATTCTGTTAACACAAAACCGGAAGAGCAATGATAGACAATTGGAACATAATAACAATACTAGCTCAAGCTCTCGTATACGCTAACGATATTGTCCTCAGAACAGACTCAGCACAAGTATTACAGCTAGGTATCGTGGAATAGGAAGCTGAGCTTGAAAGAAAAGGAATGGTTATCAACGAGGATAAAAACAAACTCATGGAGGAGGGTCGGGAGGCTAAAAACACTGAAATGTAAAGGTAAAACCCTTGAATAGGCGGAAGAATAAATCTAACTATTAACTATTAGAAGAAATGGTAGAATAGAACTTGAAATATCAGATAGGTTAAAAAATCATATAGTATCTCCTACCAAAGTCGAAGATATAACAAAAATCAATATATATATATAACATACTTTTATTTACCTTCCAATCTTACTGTACGGTAGTGAGAGCAATATTGTGTTAAGAGCAAGACCAAAAACTATTTTCAGACATTTAAAACTGGTATTAAAAAAAAAAAAAAATGGAAAAGAGTTGAGAAAGTTATGACTTTTTAACTTTTTTTAATGGTATGAGATACTGATTGTTTTGGTATGAGAAGGAAATAAATGTAAAAAAAAAAAAAAAGAAAAAGGGAAAAAATGTAAAATGTATGTATGTGATGTCTGAGTTAGGTATGGTCTGTATGTGGCATAATAAATGGTTTCAATGTTTTTATTAATTTCTTTGTTTTTAATATTCCACTATTGACTCTTTTTTTGACTAATGGGCATGTTTTAGTAAATGCCAATAGATTTTTTATTGGACATGAGTCAGCTTATTTCTTTATCGGTGTTCTTTTTTTTTTTTTTCATATAACGTAGAGTTTTTTTTAAAGCGTTCGGCTCACAGACCGAGAATATTATTGAAATATATGTTCACATTATCAAATTTAAGACCTATCAGATGCCTCTAAACTTCCCTTGATCGATTATCAGGTCTATCCTCCTTCCGCTTGATAATTATCAGTTTGGTAATACCTGGACGGCTAGGAGGGATCCAGGAAGCCGTGTAGGTGGTAACTTGGGCTAGAGCGAGCCGGCTAACAAGCAACAAGTCTCCGCCGGCTAAGTTGGAGATGTGTTCGACAGCTCGACAGCGCTTCGCCTCCATTACAGCTTACACCGACCGCTCCGGGTGTTGACTGCTCCTAACTAGTCGGCTCAAGTCTTAGCCGCCAACAGTTTAGCTACTGCTGCTTCCTCCACTAAAGTTCCATCTCGTGTTTAAAAACAATTATTTTTGTTAATTTCTTTATGAATTTTTATTTCTCAAATGAAGATTTCTTTATCTCTCATTTTTCCCGCAATCAAAGGCTCAACATAATTGACGTATTACTAGCATTTCAGAATCAACACTGAGCGACTTGGGAGTTCCAAAACTATTACAAAAAAAAAAAAAAAAATGAGTCAGCGGATCATTCATAGAAAAGTTCAGTTATATATTAATTGACTAACGAATCCATCTTTCACAACATATCCTTGTAATATACATAAACAATTATATATATTTATACAGGGTGGTTTATACAGTATTTACTGGCCAAATTTTCGGAGGTAATTCTGGACAAAATTTCCAACAAAAAAGTCCATGGACCGATTCCACACGGAAAATGACTTAACTCCAATTTTGTCTTTTCTTGAGGTGGTCACGTTTTCTCTTTCATATGAAGCGAAAATACAAAAATTATTCAATTTATATAATTAATAATTGCTTTATAGTAAACTAGACAAAATTTCCTTCAAATAATGTTAGAGTTTGTCTTTGTCCACTAACGAATCCAGGATTTAATTTTGGGGGCTTCAAAGATTTTTTTTTCATAAATCTTCATAAAAATAATTTAAAAAAATAAAATTAACTACCTATATGAAATGGTGTTTAAGTGGTTTCTTAAGCCTTATCAAATGTAATTAAACGAACAAGAATACTTTAAGAGATAGTTTTTAATATTTTTTTTTTGTAAAATATGGTTATATTTTACCATTTTGGGGGGGGGAGGGGCTTCAGCCCGAAAGCTCTCCCCCTCCCCCCACGTAGATCCGCCTGTGTCTTTGTCGAAACCATTCAAAAGGTACATTTGAGCGGATAAACAATACTAACTTGTGTTTTTCATTAAATCGCCGATTATTCGTAATTATTTTTTATGATCAACCAACTGGACTAATAATACCGTACTTAAAGAATGAAAAACATCCTTATTTAAAATCTTCAATTACATATTGGTTTAGTAAAGCTTTTTTGCTGAATAGAGTTGAAATTCATCCATTCGCTCAATCTCCACTAGGTGTAGCCTCAGTGACGCGGTTGAGAGAGAGAGATGCAGAGATCTCCTGGAGTCATGCTTTTCCCTCCACAGTTGGAGGGACAAGTTTGGATCGGAGTTCTCTCGCCTGCTTGTGAATAATGTAAATAGGTATAGGTATGTGTTATTTTTTTCAATTTATTTATTTTTAGGTTATTTTATACTTATTTATTGTATATACATTATTAGTATTATACATAGAGTGTGAATGTGATCTCTGAACACTATTATAAATGTCCTTTTTTATTGTAATATTTTAAATAAACAATAAAAAAAAAGTTAAAAAAATATTTTGTGGTTTGATATTATGTTAGCTAACAGAACTTGTATTTTCAGCAAAAATAATAAGCGATAAATTATACAAAGTTGTCATACTTTTTTTTTTTTTTTTTGGAGTTTAGCCACTCGAAAGCCCCTTTAAACAAAAACAAGATCTACTTGTACTTAAAGGATATTTTGGCTAGTTTAAAGATTAGCAATAGGTAATTACCTAAATTAGATAACCCTTTAGGAAACATAAAATTGAAGTTACCTCCTTTTCCGTTCAGAATCGGAGCGTCATATTAACTTTGTTTTTTGAAAATTTTGTAATTGTGAATAACCACCAGAGTTTAGCAATTAAGAACTCAATCACGCTATATACATAAATGAAGATAATGATTTTATAAAATACACTTATACATAAAAGTCTCTTATTAAAATATCTGCTATTTTTCTTTCCGGTCTCTACTATAAAGAGTCCTTGAAGTTTAACAATAATTTATATTTTCTTATAGTGCTTTATGATTTTTAAAAATTTACCTATTTATCTGTTGTTGTTTTTGTTTTTTTTCAAATTAAGGGCAATCTTGTAGTAAGAGTTTTATTAAGTAGCGTATGAATGAATCAATAAAATAAGAATTAATTTATATAATCTTCAAGGATTGATAGAAATATTGAATGTTTGCTGAAGTTTCCCAAATGAGAAAATACCGCTTTCAATTTATGAAGTCGTAAAGGGGCGCCATTTTATGAAAGGAAGAAAAGATTGTTGGAGCGGAGAAGAAGCGAATGGTGGGGGGAAGGAGGCGGAGGTTAAACTGACAGAAAAGGTATTATATTTATTACCCTCGAAGCCTGTCATTAGAACCATCGGGCAGATGCTACGATACATAATCCATTAATTCCGTCCATAATTTACTCCCAGCAGGTGAACTCCAGGGGATGAACAAAAAAAATTTTAAATTGTTCCCTACCCTAAGGTGGATCTGTATACAACGATTGTCCCAAAACAGGTAGGAATTGATTAGGAGAGCTTTTTACGCCATTGGAATTTTTTTTATGAGTCTTGAACTACCAAAACTACTGGAGGGACGAAGGTAAGAAGAAAAAAAAAATACAAGAAGTGGATGGCTGGAATTAAGTGGGCAGTTTCTTCACTAAGCAACAACATAACTCTTTCGGCCGGAAATTCCACTACGATGGGCCTTCTGTTGAGGAAAAGAAGTCCTTTTTTTTTTTAGAACGTTTGATTTGTTTTTTCCATATTGTTTTTGAACTAAACTTAATTTCCAAAGAAGCTATTATTAATAGATTTTGTTCACTTCATGGCTTTAGAAAATAATAATAAAAATGAATATTTTTAGATATTTGAATTATTGTTGTCACTTAACACTTTTGACTTGCGTGGTAATCATTTGGAATAGAATTTTATTTTTCTATGTTGAGAGCTATAACGGAATCCTGTCATCCTTCTAGAACTAACTGAATAGCTTGAACAATAAATTAGTGGCTGAACGGTCCAAGAGATACTCATAGGTGATTCTTCAACTTACCATGACCAATATAAATGAGCTACTTATAAGTAATGTTACTTGTTGGTATCTATATGTAAAAGAAAAAAAAAACAACTATTTAATGTAACAGCTAATCTAATCTTGCTTCCTTCCAAAAATATAGATACATTCCCCACTGTATTTTGCAATTTCTCGCGGCCCCATATGTCAAAAAACTGAAATTTAGTAAATAGGATAATTTTGTGAGGAGAGCAATATTGTGAAAATGTATGTAAATTTCAGTCAAAATTTTGGAATTTGTGTTTAAAATGTGTATGTAAATTAAGTTGGGGTAAGTGAATTGATTTTTAGGTCTTTTAATATTTATATCCTGCCACAGTTTCAACGATAAATTGAATTGGAAAACATTATAATATGTTCAAATACAAAAGACGAGAAATAAATCTACACTTTAGGCTGGTTTTTAAAATTATATTCATTTTTCTTAGGTAATAAGTAATAAGTAAAAATGTGCCCTTAGTGACAAACCTGCACACTCATTTTTTTATTCTCAAAATTCAAATGTATTCTAATACACAATAAAATATGAATCCAATAATAAAATCAGCAATTTTCTGTCCAATATAAGACATATAGTTTTAAAAGCTGATTAATGTTAACCATTTTTAACATTTCTCTTAAGCAAACTTTCCGTTATAAAGTTGATTAGGAAGATCTTGACTATTCCATTAGTTGTTATATACTTTGAGTATCTATAATATTTTTTATATTATTTACACGCATTTATTACATTGACTAACAAAATACTTTGTAGATACTCTCAGACATCATTGAGAAATCTTACAACACTCTTCCTTCATACTCTGTCTCCAACTCTTGACGCGTTTTGACAGACTTGGGAGAGCTTGTAGAAAAGCCGCGTTAATGATTCCATCAGGACCACTCAGAAGGAATTAAGGTTTTGGTAATTATTCCTTCCCTTTCCACGCCGCCAGCCCAAGAATTAATTGATGAGTAATCCTGGGAAAGGTATAACTAATTTCCCCTAATCCTCGACATTAGGAGCTGTGCCTAGGCCCCGTCTTCCGGGCACGTATACCTCTTCCGTCGGATCAATTTCAATTATCGTGCCACCTCCGAACCGCAATCGCGTCTCCTTCTTCGTCTCCAAATATTTGGAATCGTAATCTCTCATTAGGTATTTAAGGTTATATTTTTAATATTTTAGTACAACTTAATTAAATTGATTTAACTGATGCCACAGGTCTGGTCTTATGGTGTAATTTTCACCACTATTATTAAACTCCACGATTTTTTTGTATTTATTGAAATATACAACTGTGTTAAATAAATACAATCAGTAAATTTGAACAAATCAAGAATTAGAACATGAACAGATTTATCGATATAAAATTCAAGAGTAGTCCTCTCTAAATAGTTCTGTGTATGAAGATACCGAGCCCATCTTCTTTTCAGACGCCTACAGGGATTATCAGGAAAGGCAAGGCTCTTCTGGAATTTATCATGTGACGTATTTAGTGTTGCCCAAATGCGAGACAGTGAGGAGTCTTGATCTTGCAAACTTAGTCTTGGTCATGGTCTTGGTCTTGGGTAAGAGTCTCGAAACAGTCTTGCTGTTACTTATCAGCTTATCACTATAGAGATATTACTTTAATTTTTTAGATAGGAAAGTTAATAAAATTAGTAGAGTTAAATGCAAAAGTATATTGGTTACACCAATTCTTTACACACAGCAACTAAAATTGTCAAGTATTAGTAACTATATTGCCATAATTGTTATTAAAAAAAATAGATTTTTTTACCAGTCCTGTTCTTTGTCTTGCAACAGTTAGGTGGCCAAGGCCAAGACGTGCAAGACCAAGACCGATTTTGGGCAACACTAGACGTATTATAATTAAAAAAAACCAAAAAAAAAACCGCAGTTCCAACACAGCCTTACTATTGCGAATTTGTTCCATTTTATTCCTTAAAATCAAACTTGTTTGGTCCAAAAATAACAGTAACATTAAGGAATCTTATGTCTGGAACTGTGGGTAACTCTTGAACCAGATAATCAACAATTCCTACTTAGAGAAAAAAAATATGAATATTTTCTATTATTTTTTTACTCCATACTACTAACAACTAAAAATGGAGTAATTTCTCTACAAACTTGATACATACAAAAATAAACTATAAGAGTGTGTGTGTGTGTGTGTGTGTGTGTGAGGGAGAGAGGGAGATGAACTGTTATGTACATAAATATAAGACTCTAGAAAGTATTTCAATTGTCATTAAATTATGCACTCTAATGTCATATAATAATTTTATTTAAAACCATTATTTATTATTTAAATATATCACAGTGCCAACCAAGAAACCTAGATAAATTAGGTCGATAATACAGAAATGAAAACCCATAACAAATTTTTGACCAACCGAAAAAACATTTGCTATTTTCGAATCTATAAAAAAAAAAAATGTTTTCGATAAAATTTAATCTAATTTAAATAAAATATGACATTCAACAAAGTCAGACAAATAAAATTTATTACAAGATTTTAAAATTAAATTATACAATCGACAGGAAAAATAAAATTGACTGAATTGTATATTTTATTTATTTACTTGTGTATTTTTTTTTACTATTATTTTAACAAGAAGATTAAACATTTTTAATAGAAATAATATAAGGCAAGGAAATTCTACTTTAATAATCAGCTGGAAAGAACTCGGATGGAAGGGCTAACCCAGAGAAATCTAGCAGAATTCAGCGGAACTAAACACGCCATTACTGGTCCTTCCTACGAATCTATTACAGAATATGGAACCACAGAAGTTTCTTTTTTTTATGTAGAAATATTTTATGCAAAATTAATGTAAGTTATACAAACAATGGCTTCAATTATTGACCAAAATATTACTTCAAAAATAACAAAAACAGAAATTTAGGTCCATCCATAATAAAAATTATATGCTCAAGTAACCAAAAATACACATAAGAATCGAATAATAACTTTATAAAAATTAACCATCTTTTTAAAATAATCAGATATCGCGAAGGGTTTAAGGCAAATTTCTATAAATGTGTCACTGAATGGAATAATATGGCATGGACAAACAAATAACTGTTTGAACAAAAAAACACACACACACACACACACACACACACACACACACACACACACACACACACACACACATATATATATATATATATATATATATATATATATCAAATACATATTTATTATATAAACAATAAACATCCTTATATAATCTTCCGCCTCTTTGAGAGACTGAGGTCTTAAATTCTTTTGCTGTCTTTTCTTTAATTTGAAAGGTTCCTTATCTTAGATTGATTTCTTAATGGACTGTTATAAAGAGACGATAATAGATTATAATTATATATATATATATATATATATATATATATATAAATATATAATTTGACATTATATAAATATTTAATTAAAATTTGTTTTTATTTTCTTTTTTCGATAAAAAAGAATAAAATTAAATATAGATTTCTTTATACATCTAACAAAAGACTAAAATGAAAATTACATAAATATGAAAAACAAATCTATTGTTTTACGTTTATTGTGTTTGTTCAAACTCTCTCTTGTATACATTTCATTAATTTTGCACCGTTCTTTTATGGATATTGCAGCATAAAAAAAAAGATTATCAAATATTCTCTCAGTGTAATTCCAATTATTTTTTAAATACATGAATCAATAATGAATGTTTTAATATTCTCCGAATCATAACGGGAAAAAACACGAAGTATATTTCAGTTTTAATTTAATTATTCATCACAAATGATGGAAAAGTATATATATATATATATATATATATATATATATATATATATATATATATATATATATATATATATATATATATATATATATTTTAGAAACCTCGATTTTTTTTATTAATAACCCGTAACAAGACCATAAAATATAATTAAAATGGCTTTATAAGTTATAATATTTGTAAATAATATTGAAGAGACCCACCTGTTAGTACCCTGAGAGCTTCAGGTGGCGCTCCAGCAGCTTTTAAGGCTTCTTCTAGTTGTGACCTTCTCTTCATCTCCAGTTCCAGTTGATCCTGGAGCCGCCGCCTGGCTTTCCTTTCTTTCCTCAATCTTTTCTGGTAGAGGGCTGCAAACAAGAAATAAAGTCACAATTAAACTCAGATATAACAGTATTAGCTTCTAGTTATGATGAAGAATTCTTATTATTATTAAAATTAGTTGTGACAGATGTTATTTAAAAAATGGTGGTTTCAAATGATATTATGGTTAAACATCTCTTCCAACGATTATATCATTTTTGATTTACCACTACAAAAAAAAAAAAAAAAAAAAAATTAAATTTGATCCTTGTTTAATTTTTGTTATTATTAAACTGAAATGATTCCTAACGTTAGTGAATAATTTTATCTATTCAGCTTTGCTACAGTAAAGCCACTAATTTATTTCCTTAATCAAAAACGAACTGAACCAAAATCCATCAAGACAGAATTAGCATGTCCGTCTCTGGGTGGTGCTGTTTTGCATATCATTCTGCCGAATTGGCAGCTATCGGCGAATTTCGATACGGGAAATATTCAAATTTATTCATATGCAAGATGGCAAAGAGTGGGGGGGGGAGGGCATTTGTGTAGCGGTGACAGTGGAGACGTAGGCATGACAAATGGAGTTTGGAAGATGCCGTATCTAGAGCTGGGATGTGTATGCACTCTATAAAACAATAGATCTTTTGTCTTAGGGACCACACGCGAAGCGGACATTGACAGCATACCTTACGCCACTATAAGGCTCCAAAATGCTTTTACACACAACTCTGTGAATCCAGGAGATTAGATTTGAAGGTAGGGTAAGCGATGCAGAAACAGAACAACAGTATGCAGTTTGAAGTGCATTAAAAGATACCTTTCTAGATTGCATTGATAGATTTTTTTCAGAGATTACCTATTATGTCTTGAATATAAAATATAATAGGTATAGGCAATAAATAATTAAATATTTTAGACTCAGATTCATAACAGAATTATTCGAAAATTTTAATATCGGAATTTATTGGAGGATCGAAACAAATTTGCATAACTTCTTAAAAACATTCAATGCAATGAGTGATGTGATGATACTATGAAACCGTTGCCTTCGTGTAAAAAGTCAAGATTAAATTTTAATTTTCAAATAAGTACAGATTTTATCGAATACTTAGAGATTAGTTTGTTATTAAATATAATATTAAACTACTGAATGCCATAGTTTGCATAAGAAAGATACATGTAACGGAATTTTATACATTTTTTTCTAACCTGAGCCTTGTATTTGAAATTTTGTCAAAAAATAGTTTTATAAATGTCTAAAACGGAGGGAAAATAACCAAGAAATAAGCGAGAGGACTTCATGTCACATTCGGTGTAGAAGATAAGATTCACACCCAGTGCTGTCATATTTAGACTGTTTTTAGTTCAAGGAAAATTTATTAAAAAGAAAAAGACATTTAAGTCTGTTTTAAGCCTGGTGACAATAAACCACAGTCAGTAAAACACCTGTTAGTAGAGTGCAACGAGCTCAACAACATTCGGCAAAAATTGAAACTACCAATGACAATGACAGAAATATTAAGAGACAACGAAGATGGAGTCACCACCCTATTCCGGTACTTAATGGAGACGAAATATTACAATAGAATATAGAAAACTAGCCGCCAATGAGCTTCTAGGGTAGAGGCGATTATAAATAAAAAAAAAAAAGCCTGGTTAAAACAAAAATATTTTTCATAATAAATTCAAGGTTCGAAAAAAAAAAAAAGCGGGGACTTTAGGAAGGACTGTCCTGATGTGTTTAAGCTGTAAAGAATGAAATGGGGATCGTTGCTAAAGTCTAAAATTTTCAGCTTCGTTTCACGAAACTCTTTAAAAGCAACTGACCATTCATAGAGTGACTGGTCAAAGTCAAAAGTGCATTAAACAAAGGTTTGGTTTATTTATTTTTTTCAGCGTAAAATGAACTTATGAGAATGTTGTCTGTCTCGAAAATGAAAATTCTTCAAGAATTAGGTTCCTTATGTTGTACAAGAATAATCGCATCATTATCCCAGGACATTTAAGAACATAAGGGTACCATTTCAATGCAAATCGTGACCGACTGTGAGAAACTAGGGGGACTTATCGGTCGGGATCTGTAAACTCCCAATTAATATTAGATAGCTGATACGAACAAGGTAAACAATATTAATTTGAGTATTTGAATAAGGTAAACTTTAAAAGAAGACTTAAAAATTCCACATACACATCGGCCTCTATTAGTAAACAGAAAGTGTTTCCCACTGTTATGAATGCATAAAAAGAGGAAAATGTATACATTGTCCCTAGGCTAATACGGATCTTGACACAAAAGGTTCGTGCGCCCATACCGGAGGATCTCATAACCCCCTCGTTTATTTAAATACAATAACATTTATACAGAGATAGTGCCCCTTATCTCCCGGGGCAATTGATTGACATTATGTTGCCCTGAGATTAGGATGGTTTCCCTCTCGGGTCTGTTTAGAAAAAAAAAAAAATAAGAAATTATTCAAGTCCATGGACGGCCCTCGACATAGATAATGGATTAACATAATTATGTAGCCGAGACAAAGGATAGTGGGTGGCCTCTTGGATGCTATTAACACATCAGTCGGTGTCTGTATCTAGATTGGTTCATCTCTCTCCCTCTATCCCCCTGACATTCCCGTTCCCATTATTGTTTGGATATATTCAAAAACGTTCCCAAACACGTCAAGTAAACATAAATCTTGAAGGGACATCAAACACATAGAGTATCCACAGAATATGCTAAGAACCATAAATTAAAACTTCGATCATTGAAATGAACGAAGAAAAGACATGATGTCAAGATCAAGAAGTTTCCAAACTATGGCAAACGTTCAAGCAAAAGAGAGTCATATAAATATCTTTTTAACGCGTTTTAGGAGGAATATAATTTTATTCAAAAATAGTTTTTAATGTATTAATAATGTCATTAATAAATACGATCTATAGCTAATAATATTAATCAAGTATGGTTAGGGTAGTGAAATTCAAAGCTTTCAGTGTTGGAGCTAGGAATAAGTTGAGCATCATCAAGCCAACCATCGTTGCTCTCATTGCAAATAATAGGTTACACTGAAAAATAATATCTTATATAGATTTATATTATATGGTAAATTATATTTCATTTATAGATTATGATTTTCCTAAATATATATCATATAATATTTTTTTTTATCTTCTTTTTTTCTTTTTCTAGGAAGCTTCGATATATATTTTTTAATGTCGAGGTAATTAAACTTCCATTTTTCTTTAGTCTTTTTTAATCACATCTATTATATCTGATCCTAGTAATATAATTGAGGTAATTTCATCGCGGCGAATCAGATGGGCTTGTAAAGTTGTTGGGCTTAGTAACGAGAGAATTCCTAAAAGGTTAATATTTGCTGTGCCGAATGGTAAGCGTCCAAGGGGAAGACCGAAGCGAAGGTGGGAAGATTGCATTAAAGCCGATCTGAAGGGACTGGGTTTGGACGGCGAACGGTGGTGGGAGGTGTGTAATAAGCGATTGGTGGTGTCGGCATCGAACCTTCGGGTTCGCTAAGCCTTTTATTATTATTATTATCTATTATATCTGACTTTTCGGGACAATTTTCACATCTTCATAGAATCCTTTATGTTTACTTGACTTTGTAATGTGGCACCAATTGTCAAAAATTAAAATAAATATCACATCTATTTAAATATAACACTTTTTGGTGTTACACATTCATTTTCTGTCTATCATCACACGAACCAACACCTGGCTGTGTTGTGTTTAATTTTAAAGTTTAATTGCCTCAACCTTAAAAAATACTTGTTTATATGAAGACGAACATTTAATTCTTTAATTTTTTAACGTTTGATACTATAATTATTATAATTGTCATTGTATCATAGTTATTTTTATAAAGATAAGCAATATAATAATCATATGTTACAACTGTAAGTTGCCGATTTAATACTAGAATTAATTATTATGAGTTTTAATACTTAATTATCAATAATTATAAGGCATTTTAATCAGTGAAAATAAAGAAATATAAGAAAAAATATGAATTGAATAAACTGAAAATAATATAAATGGAAAAAGAATGTACACGAATATTCTATTATTTTTTTTTACTTTTAAAATTTTAAGATTGTTAATATTATAATTTTTGTTCGTGAAAATTTTTTGATATTTCAAAGACACTTTTAAAGTAAATTAAAAATAAATTAATTAAGCCACTGAACATCTTAAATTTATGATATTAGTTTCTCTATTATTCAGTCGTACCAATATTTTTTCTCTAAAAACCAGATATTTATACTCAATCAAAAACTTGGAAATAACTGGTTTGCAGTAATAATTATTATCAAGAAAACGCTACAAGTGGATTCAATTAAAATTCAGATGCACTGCGACCACAAGGAATTATCAAATTTTATCAGATCTGGTGTTTAATATCGAATGTAACAGACCAAGTAATCAATATTTTTTTTTTATATCTACCATTACCCATGATCTTATCAGACCTTTTCATTTCAACTTTCCAACAAATTATAATCATCATACATATATTTTTATGAGTTCAAGCCGTCGGATGTGTTAGTTATAAAAAATTAAAAAAAAAAATTAATACGTACGATTCCACCTCAGCTATTAAAATATTGTTACAAATTTATTCAAAAGCTAAGGACATAAATAGAATTCGAAACTGCTCCCGAGGCTCAAAACAAGATTTGATGGGTAATTAAATCCGGTTAAGATTCGGAGAAAAATTGCTCGAGACATGTCCGCCGTAATTTCTATAATCGGTCCTAAATGTTTCCAGAACAGGTTTGTGAGCACTGAATTATTTATGTGTAATAATAAGAAGAAAAAAAAAAAAAAAAAGAAGAAACAGTAGCTATAAGAATAAATAACACGTATTAGGGGAAGATATTTCTGAATCGTTTTCAGACATAACATCAAGGATTGTAATTGGGCTTTGGAAGTCGATGACCCAAGTTTTTTTTATTTTTTTTATTTTATTATTACACATTAATTTTATTTAAACGAGTAGTTAGGAATATTTTCCGCTCCTCGGACAATTATCTTTAAAAAATATGTGAATTTCAAATGAGCTGACTCACAAAATGTACAAAAAAATAGAGTGAACGAACGCTGTCGTATATAAAATGCCTCAATCTGAATCATATCAAATCGTTTACCAATTTTTTTTTTTTTTTTTACAGAAAAAGTATTTTTATAAAACTTTTACGAAAGTGGTATCTTGAACTATTTGTATGCAGTTGAAAGCAGAAGTTGAAACCTTTATGGAACGTTTTTTAAAACAGTTTCTGTGAAATGTTTTAGCTAAAAAGTTAAAAAAAAAAATCAAAAACTTCTTTGTAATAAAGTTCTACGTTTATGATAAAAGTTACTTTAAATGAGAAATAAACAGTAATTGGTCATACAATGAAATTATAATTGATCTTAAATTAATTATGTGAATATAATGTGTCGTTTGTTAGAGTAACTAAGAAGAAAAGTTAGTGATAAGATTTTTTTTTTTTTTGTCGAAGATGGTCTCGGGACCTTCTAATATAGAGCTTTAATTTGAGTTCTACCAATGGGTAATTTCTCTTCATGTTGTACATATCATGTTACCAATGTCACAGTTAGTTGTTGTATTTCTCATGTGATACAGTTGAAAATTTCATTAAAATAAAATTTAAAAAAA